CTTACAAACATAGGTTTGGGCCACGAATGATCATTTATTTGAATCAGGACAAAATTTAGCGCTATGTTAAGCAATCGTAAGGGGACTTATATAGAAGCCTCACCTATTTTGAGGCCGGTCAATAGCAATATATGCACCATTTATTTTGAGACATGATATAGAGATCATGCTCCAATAACACTTAGTGCAATAAGAAAAGGATAAGATTAAGAGGGGTGAGAAAGAATATACAAACCACATTTGAATTAAAATTTAATCAAACTATTATTAAAATCATTCATCCACTTTTATGGAGTTAGACTCAACATCATGGATCCAATGATGCTAACAAAGTTCATTATTAAAAATTCAACCCAAGATCAGCCAGAAAATAATCACAAAATAATATTGCATTTAATATATATATATATATATATATATATATATATATATATATATATATATATATATATATATATATATATATATATATATATATATATATATATATATATATATATATATATATATATATATATATATATATATATATATATATATATATATATATATATATATATATATATATATATATATATATATATATATATATATATATATATATATATATATATATATATATATATATATATATATATATATATATATATATATATATATATATATATATATTAAAAAGGGTTTTAAAATGTTTTAAAATAGAAATAAGAGAGAAAAATATCAACTATGTTCAAATTAATCAAGAAATATAAAGTAAGACCATAGAAAAATCAGAAATGAACTCAAATATTTTTAAAGTCAGAAACTATTTTTAAAATTAAAAGAAATGAGTAAAATAAACCAAAAATGATAAAAAAATAACAAAGTCAGAAATAAAAAATAAATGAGGTCACCAATATTTGTCACAATATCATTGGATCATTCCATTTTTTTTCTTCAGAATTTAAAAATATATGAAAGTATTTTTAAACATTTAAAACAATTTAAATAAAGTGAAAATTTATAAAAAAATATCAAAACACACTGAAGCTTGTAATCCATCCTTTTCTGTGTGTTTTTGCTTCTAAACATGTTTAGTGAACTTCCAAAAGTGATTAGCATAGCAAAACACGCATTTTGGATGAGTTTTGATCAAATTAGAAGTCACACTTTTCTTGTTTGCAATTTCACACGATTTCCCTCCAAACTTCATTATTTTACACGCTTGAACATTCCATTTAATTCTCTATAAATAGAGGGTCATCCCCCATTCATTTCCTCAAGCTTGGATAGCCAGAATCACCCTGCCAAACTTGCTCCATAACTCAATTTTCTGTAACTTCGAAATCAGTGTTCAAGCCTTTTTCAATCCAATTTTTCTATCAATTGACCTTCCTTGATCTTCCCTGAAGCTAACCATACAATTACCTTCAATAATCGTGCCTTATATTGCTCCATAGAAGTCCAGTTTCAGAGCTCTGCAACTCAACTTCAATAGGTAGATTTCTTCATCAATTCTTCAAAACTTTGATATCATTGTGAAGCTCTCATTGCTCTGGTTCTAGTCGAAACACTTGCTTTTATCTGGAAACACATTTTGACCATGAAATTTCAAATCCCTTTTCAAAACTTTCTTTCCAAATTGCTTGAGCTACAATTTATATAAATTTGTCGCGAAGATGTTGTTGTCTTCGTTTTGAAGAGACGAAGCGATTGGCATATGTCCCGTGCTCTAATTTTACAGTTTGAGCATCCTGGTTTTGGGACTGGCTGGAGGTTGAAGATGACCAACGTGTCATCTTCCAACCAATGAGGGGGCGCCACTTGTTTTTTTGAAATCTGATTTAATTAATGATTCAGTGCTTTATTCACTAAAGTCCATAACATGCACAGCGCACCAGGTCCACTTGATATGTTTACTAACGCGTTTTGACATTGATCAGATGGCCCATATTTTTTTGGTTTTTATTTTCTTTTCTGATTTTATATTTAATTGTTTTAAATTTCAAAAAATCATAGAAAATTCATTTTTAGTCCAAAAAATCTGAAAAAATTATGAAAAATATTTTTGATTTTTCTCTTTCTGATTTTTATTTTTTCACAATTTTATTTTGTGTTTTGACATTTTTTATAAATTTTCACTTTATTTGAATTGTTTTAAATGTTTAAAAATACTTTAATGCATTTTTAAATTCTGAAAAAAATATGGAATGATCCAATGATATTGTGACAAATATTGGTGACCTCATTCATTTTTTATTTCTGACTTTGGCATTTTTTGTTATCATTTTTGGTTTATTTTACTCATTTCTCTTAATTTTAAAAATAGTTTCTGACTTAAAAAAATTTCCAAAAATTTTATAAAAATATTTGAGTCCTTTTCTGATTTTTCTATGGTCTTACTTTTTATTTCTTGATTAATTTGAACATAGTTGATATATTTTTCTTTCATTTCTATTTTAAAACATTTTAAAAAAAACCTTTTTTAATGTATATATTAAATGAAATATTATTTTGTGATAGTTTTCTGGATGATCTTGGGTTGAATTTTTGATTATGAACATTATTAAAGTCATTGGATCCATGGTGTTGAGTCTAACTCCATAAAAATGGATGAATGATTTTAATAATAGTTTGATTAAAATTTAATTCAAAAATGGTTTGTATATTCTTCTTCACCCCTCTTCATCTTATCCCTTTCTTATTGCACTAAGTGTTATTGGAGCATGATCTCTATATCATGTCTCAAAACAAATGGTGCATAGATTGCTTTTGACCGACCTCAAAATAGGTGCGACTTCTACATAAATCCACTTACGTTTGCTTAACATATCGCTAAATTTTGTCCCGATTCGAATAAATGATCATTCGTGGCCCAAACTCATGTTTGCAAGCCCAAGTATGTTAATTTGATCTCTCTGATCTAATAACCTTGAGATTTATTATGTGGAGGCTTTGGTTCTACCAAACCTCTAATGGATCTATAACACTTTTGGTCAGCGTGAATCACTTAAACATCGTTGATCATCAAATGGTACTTTTGAGGATTCCAAATGGATGATATACTTGACAAAAAGCAAATACAACTTGTTGTGTGGAGGCTTTGGTTCTACCAATCCTCTAATGAGTTCCAAATGCAAGTTTCAAGATGGTCATCCAACTAACCACTAATTATACAATTGATTTTACTTTATGTTTTTTATGCTTTATGTACCATTTACTTTAAGCATTACATTTCATGCTATTTGTATTTTGCTCACTTGAGTATTTATATTCTGGTTATTTTTATTTTTATTTTTCTCACTTGAGCCTTTCTTTTCTTTTTTAAGACACCTAATAATCAACATGAACCCTAAAAAAACCATTTAATGATACTTGGACTATTTGGTTACTATCCTTGACATTACGGAGTATTGGACTTCTTGGACTTAGGATTAGAAACCTTGACCTATGTTGGAGACCTTTTGACCTTAATTGATATTTTGTCTGGAGTTATTGAGGTTTACCTCAAGACATTGGGTTGTTTGTTTGTTTTGTGTGTAGGTCGTTGTGATTACATTCTTTGTTCGTAATCTGGAATTCCCCCGTACACAGCCGTCACTCTGCCCAATTTTTGTGAAGACTTAATACATTTGAAGTTGGTTCTCTCAAGAGATCTAGTATCTTTGATTTTTTGGTTTTAATCCAAAGAATGGGAATTCTATCTTGATTCATAATGTCAAGTATTGGCTTCTTGTTGGTTAGATGGTTCTTATCCATAGCTTTTACCTTATGCTTTAGGATAGTCTCTTCTTCTCCTCCCATCTTCTTTAATTTCAAAAATATTCTTCCTCCTTTTGAAAACTCTTCTTGTTTTTAAACTTGAACCACTTTCATAATAAACTCGAACCTATGTTTCTTCATATATCCTCAAGGATACTCATGTCAAGTTTCAAGCCTTGTATCACAAGTTTTCTCAGTCAATGTTTCAGATGACTGAAAATCAACTATATTGGGCAAAAAGTCAACATTTTCGAGATCAAGTTCAAACAATTGTAAATTCTTTATTGTTCAATATTTTGAGTGATTTTTTTTTGCGTATGACTCTTCTTGACGTCATCTCCAACTTCTCTTTACAAGTCAAGAGCTGATTATGTGCGAAAGATCATAAAAAATTCGAATACTTTAGAGGTTGCTTTGCGGGCTTTGACCTAATTTCAAGTAAATATTTCCCAACTTCCATGGATCATAACTTCCTAGATTTTCAACATTTTGAGGCAATTCTTTTGGAACATTTCCATAAGGAATGCCATCTACAAGTTTTCTTTAAGGATCAGAGTTAAATTGTGCTTAGAAGGTTTTGAAACCTATGAAAATGTTATAGGTCAATTCTTAATTTAAAAAAAAAAAGAGTTTTGCTTCTAATTTCCATTCATGAAGGCATTTTTTTTATTGTGGTGGATTGAAATACGAGTTATAATTCATTTTGGTTGATATAACTTTGGTTCTCATCAAATACTTGTTTACTTCAATTACAAGTTAATTTGAATTTGGAGAATTAAAGTTAGCGATTCGTTAAGCTACAAGGTGTGGTTTCATCTATCCCCTCCTTCCTAATTAAGGTTTTGTGTATGGTATTGTCAAGATTCAAAGATGGTACACATGGACATTTGTTGATTCAATTTGATTATGAGTTCATGGAATCAAGTATTCCAAACAATTTCATTTAAGTTCCTATTTGAAATTGATGCATTATCATAACAAATTCAAAACAATTATCTTGGCCTAATTCAAAGATTTACCAAGAGTCAAGCATTGTCATTCATAAAATCATTTGTTTCATTCAAGATCCATTCAAGGTCCAACACAAGTTTCATCCAAAATTCATCCATTAGGGCAATGGTCAAATGATTCAAAACAATTTGCATTCATTGAAATTCAAAAATTTCATGACTATTCAAGTATTATTCATGTTCAAGCTTACAAGAATACATTCAAATACAAAAATTACAAATCCTAATCTTCCTAAACTGATCCTAAACCTAGCTCTCTATGTCCAAGAAACGGTCCAAAGGCCTGCTAGGTAAAACCATTGCTGCTGCCCTGCACCATACAGCAGTCCACAAAACCCTTTGCAATGCATCACTATAAAACACCCCTGCTGCTGCTACCAAAATAGTCCACAAACCTTGCAAAAAACTTTCCCGAGACGTGCCAAATAAAAACCTTGCAATGTTGTCCATAATATGCATCAAACTTGTCCAGTAATTATTCAAAAAATATATCAAACACAAACAGCATTAGAAAGTGTTAAAAGAGTATGCCAAAATTGTTCAAACTTAACCAACTTTTCCCCCCAGTTTTCACCCTATATCATCTATAAAAATATACTCTAAACCCCTGTATTAAAAAAAGGAGGATAGAAATCCCAGGGCACGAAAGAAACACACACAAAATATCACCAATACTCCACTGAAGCTCTCTCAAAAAACCGCATACTCTCTCTGCTCAAACCACACAATACTCTCCTCTCCCAACCAACTATTGACACACTGTTTACACAGAGAACATACACAAGTAAACCTCAATCAAAAAACTCAGAGAAAAACCATAAAATGCACAAAAAATATTTCTTTCAACCTTCTGCATAAACCAAACTCACAGAATCTTAACCATCTACTGCAATACCCTTCTTTTCTCAACCTACAACCATACTCCATAAGCCAAATTACAAAATAACTATAAAAAAATCATAAGGAACTTCAGCTTCACCTACACAAAACTTTAAGCTACATAAACTGTAGCATTCAACATATTGCATAACAACTAAAACCGATAACAACCAACAACAATATTTCAGCCGATTTTCATAGCAGGAGAGAATTGAAACAAGGCAGAAATAGCTCAAAAAAAGAGAAGCACCATACCTGAATACGAAGAAAGTCTCCTCTCTGTCGAGCACCTCCAATCAATTTTCTAAACTTCATTCAAACAGAACTTGCAAACATAAATCCAAAAGCTTCAACAACTTGCAAAATGCATCCATACAACACTAATAATCCTTAAACATCAGACACCGACGCGAAACATAACATGCAGGAGTAACTCAACAGTAGCAGCACAACCATAGTTATGAGTGTTTATTGTTGTTGTTAACATAAAAAATCGATTGTGAGGATGAGAAGTAGAGATAATTTGAAAAGGGTTTGAGTGTGAGATTAGAATTGCGAGAAAGAGAAACTAGGGTTCTATGAACCCGATCATTTTCTAAAGTAGAAACCTGGGTCAACTTTGACCTGGTTCTCCAGCACAAACGGCTCTTCATTTTTTTGGTAGACCTTGGGCCTTTGCTGCTAATTTCCCCCATGAGCCCATGTTTTTTTTTTGGAACCTGAAGAAGCTGATACAAAAACCCCCTTTCTGGACTTACCTTGGTTTGACTTTGCGCCCATTGTTTCTTTCACACTTTTTTCAGATTGACACCCTCATGGGTTTTCCATTTTTAATTTACTTTTATTTTTATTTTTATTTCTATTTTTATTTTATTTTGTTTTAATATTCCATAGTATGATAAAATAATAATTTTAGAATTTTTTCTTTAATATTTATTATTTCTTTACATAAACAAATCACAAAAATATTAGAGTAGATTAGAATTAGGATTTTATTTCCTTTTAGTTTTTAATTTATTTTCATAAAAAATGTAATAAAAAAAGTAATAGATAAGGATTTTACTCCCTTTAAAATAACCTAATTTTCTTAACTTTTTCTTTTTATAAAAAAAATCAACCAGTTTTAGGTTAATTGTCAAAACTTTTTCATCAAACAAATACCAAAACCATTTTTTTCGTTTCTTTCTTTTTTTACCGCTTCGCATATTATTTTCGCATTAGTTTTTTCCAATTATGAATCTGCCAATGGGATGTAATAGTTTAATTAGGCTCTTTACTTTTTCCCCATTCATAAATGTGTACCCCCATTCCCGAAGCGTTATAATAGCGTAGAACTTTATTTCCTGCACTTTACCGCATTTACTCATTATTGTATAGTAATTAGGCGTATATGTAAAGATTTAAAATCAACTGCTAGATAACCCTAATCAAGATAAATTAAACTTGAAGCAAAACACTTTTCACACGCGCACCTCTAAGGTAACCTCGCTTGTTGCCTCGGAAAAACAATCATGTCCCTCGAATATGGGACGCTTTAGCAAAGACCCTCGATAGAAAAAAGATCGTAGTCCCTTGATGACCCTTTGATGTTGCCTTTGGTAAAACGATCTTAGTCCCTTATGGAAATTGCTAAAGCATCCCACAAGTTGCCTTCTATGACTGTACGATGACTCGCTCATGTCCCTAACATCCAATGATATGGCTCTCTACCAACCAATGGTAAAGTAGCACTATCTAAAGAAGGAGGAAAAGAACAAAGACTTTTTGAGTCGGTAGATTACTCGTAATTGCTCGCTCAAAAAACCAAAACACTCTTTACACCTCACAGTTTCAAAACACTTTAAAAAAACAAACATCTTTTCAAACAAATATTTACAAAATAAATACTTTGTATGCATTCTCAACAATACGAGAATCATTACAAAGTTTGCCGCATCCGGGCATTTTTTCAAATTATTCCCAAAACAAACATTTTTGTATACATTCTCAACGATACGAGAATCATTACAAAATTACCATTTTTTTCAAAACATCTTCAAACATTTTCAAACATACACATAACACAAAGCATTTCAAAGTGAGCTAGAAATTAAGATCCCGTAGATAACTACGGATGAAAAGGGTGTTAACACCTTCCCTTTTCATAACCTACCCCCCGAACTCAAGAAAAATTCTCAAAAAGGTCTTTCTTATTCTTTTCACCCTTTCCTTTATTACATAAAAGAAAAGTCGGTCGCGACTCTTGCTATCAGCAACATTTGCAATAAACGCAAAACACCAAGTCAGTTCTCCCACCGTATTACATCAGTGTCTTAAGCATTGATATTCAGTAAATGGACAATAAAGATTTTTTTAAGGACTGCAAAGAAACTCAAAAAACACGCTTATTTTTCCATTCGGTTTTGACTCAAAGCCGAGGTAAAAGGTTTTTCTTTTTAAATAAACAATATAATAAATTTGGTACTTTTAACCCCGATTTCTAAAAGAACCGAGGTAATAGATTACTTCTATTGCCAACAAAAATGGTGTTTGGAAAAAAAATTGAGGTAACATGTATTGTTTCCTTTTTTAATTTTTTACCATTCATAAATTTCTTTGTGTGTTGCAATATAATTAAGAATAAATTTCTCAATATTGTCAATCAAAGAGATCAATATAATATACGACAACAACAACAACAAAACTAACACAATTATATGAGATAGACTGCAAGAACCGAAAAATGATTTGTTAAAGATGGTGTTAGAAGAACTACAACACATAACCAAAAAAATTGTCTCCCAATCCATCTGAAAGAATTATGTTTAAGAGCATTGAGCTGTTGAACATGTGAGTTGGGTTTAGGGTAAAATTTAGTGAGTGAATCCTTTTATAGCAAAATATGTTGGTGGACAAGATTGAAGATGAAAAATGAAGATGAAAGAAGAGATAGAAAGACGGCTGTAACAAACTTTTTGAGAAATAAACTATATTAACAAATTACATTAAATTTCTTACAAAAACCCTAAGTACAAACTTGTTTATATACACTAGATAAACTGTCACGTAGGCCCTAACAAAAGTATGCTTAAAAGATAAGCTAACTGTCATAACCGGCAAAAAAATACGAGTCGCCACCATTAATTTCTATCCTAAGGACGGAGAAATAACGGTTAAACCTAATTCGTATAGAGATTCTAAATTTGTGAGTTGGTTAGACGAAGGCAAGGTGTTAGGCACCCTTCATCTCCCTTGTTCTCAAGGGACTCCGCTTTTAGGTCTAAGGGTGAGATGGGAGTTTTAGAGGTATATTGTTTATATATGTATAAGGAAAGAATTTTAGTTTTTTTTGTTATGAACTCGCCTTGGTTTTAACCGCGTGCATACGTATCTCTTTGCAAAGATTCGGAGTCCAAATTTGTAGTTCGAATATGTTTGGTTAGTCTTTTTTTATTGATTGTAGAAATATTTTAGAATTATCCTTGAACCTTGTTTGAGTTTGAAAATAGCATAGTCGTAGACGAAGTTCGCAGTTAATAGAAAATATCTCCATAATCCTTTTTTGAAATAAAGTTGAAATTTGAATTATGTTATTAAAAAAGGTGTTACGTTTGATAGGTTAGTTGTCTTAGAATCTGTGATGCAATTTTGAAAAATAGATTTGAATGATAAAAACATTTGAATTAATAAAAAGGGTTAGTATTTTTTTAAAAAAATTAAAAAATAACTATTTTCTTATTATTAAAAAAAATTAGATATTTTTAATAATAATCCAATATTTATTTATCAAAAAATGATTTTTTATGATAAAAATAATTTGATGCAAAAATATTCTAATGCAATATACTAAAAAATGATATGAGAAGCAAATTATAAATTAAATAAAAAACAACAAATTAATTAATTAATTAATTAAATAAATTATTTGATTAAAAACAAGGGGGTGTATTTTTACATTCAGTAATAAAACCAGGGGTCTGAATAGTAAATTTTTTGGCCCAATCAAATTTATTTCAGTCCAATTGTGCATGAGGGTGTTAATAGTAACCAGGTTAGCAAAATAAGGGTGTTATTAGAACAATCCGTAGCCCAACACAGATTATGGATCCATTTGAGCAATATGTGGAGAGGCATAGGGAATATGGTGTGCTACAGAGATCTGGCGCGTTTGATGTAATCAGAGGGCTACCTGAGGTTAACCCAGGAGCGTTTCTTAAAGTTATGGCAAACGAAGGGTTGAGATGATGCAATGACTGAGGGAGCATGGTATGCAAGAGCGCGGATGATCGGTCAATAGTCATCTAATTCAGGGGCTCTCGAGGAGCCACATGGCGTGCGTCAAAGACAAAATGGAGTATTATAAAAACCAAAACCTGAGCTTGGGGATGATTTTCTCATTTCCTTCTCTCTCTTCTTATAACAATCAAACAAAATGTTGTTGGAGGATAGAGAGAGAAGCTTTGGCTTCTCTCTATATTTCCACCACCAGAAATCGCCTCCGCTCTGGGCGCAACCGACCAGAAATCGCTTCCACCGGTGGCTGCTCCAGGGCACCACCGGCTTAAAGCACAACCATCATCTGGGTTCATATATTCATCCATATGCAACCCATAAATTCATACCAAACCCAGCAACCTTCATATATTCATCCGACCTTTATTCAAAACCTAGAACCCAAACATGAACCTTAACCCTCCTTCAACCAAACCCCATGAACCCTAGGGTTGATCCATGAACTATAACCCTATCCAAAACCCAGAAACAAAAATTGTTAGAACCTTAACCTAACCATGATGAACCCTAACCGTAGGATCTACGAACCCTAATCCTAAGGTGTACGAACCCTAACCCCAAATCAAACCCAGAAAACCCCAATTTAAACAAAAATTACACAATTAAACATAATTAAAACACCAATCCCAACAATCAATCGAGCCCTAAAAGCTAATTATTGAGGGTTACCATTCGATGCAATGAATCTTTTCATATAAATTTTCCTATTCTGATTCTTCTAGCTCTCTTCTTCTAATCTCCTCTTTCTTTATTCTTTGCAGGTATGGATTGTAGGGAGTCTAGCTCAAAGAGATTAGGGTTCTAATGATGAACCCTAATTATTTATGAATGAAGAGCTCTGGTGATTTGGTTATTGGATTTCGCAGCAGCAATCGAGAGTTCCCCAGGTTTTTTTCGTTCGTCCTTAATCCAATAGCATAGGGTTCTATTTATAGTTTTAGGAATTAGCAGATATAGGTCTTAATTAGGAAATAGTTGTAGTGATTTGCTGTTACTACCAATTAGTTTTAGGTTGATTGAAAATCAAATATTTGATTTAGTAAGATTTGATTCTGTTGTAATCTTAAAATTAGGGTTTTGTGTTATATCAATGTATCTGGACTGCCTTACATTGTAATTTACTTTTAATCAATAAAACAAATTTTAAGCAAATATTTATTTCAGATTTGATCCAAAACAAATTTCGAAATCCTGGGCTTTTGATTAGCCGTGAGGATGAAGAGTCCAGAACTTGCGCATCTTGGGACAAGGGTTAAAACCCTAATTTTGACTAAGTCAAAATCTCTAATTAAATATTAAAATAAATAACAATAAAAAAATAAATGTAATATCCCGTATTATAATTAACTCCTAATGACACTACTAAATTATGTCTAGTGATGATCATTAGAGGATTAATATATAATACCTATTTATATTCTATTGAGATAACTAAATAGAGTGAGAAGGTGTATTATAGTCATTTCACAATTAAATTAGACATTAGGGGTTTGTT